TGGGTCGTAGTGGGTCTCTGGGTCGTAGTGGGTCTCTGGGTCGTAGTGGGTCTCTGGGTCGTAGTGGGTCTCTGGGTCGTAGTGGGTCTCTGGGTAGAGGTGGGTTGTTGGGTCGTTGTGGGTCTCTGGGTCGTTGTGGGTCTCTGAGTACTGGGTGTCTGGGTCGTGGTTGGCAACTGGGTCGTAACTACTTCACATGTTGCTTTGGATTTAAGATGAAACAAAATTCAGTCTCCTAAACGACAGTTAAAATAAGAATTGTATTTTTTATACCTGGGCAGCCATGGATTTCAATTCGAAGGGCCATGGGTTGAAATAAACCACTAGCAGACCTAAGTGGAACGACTTTAATGTAACGAGCTTGAACCTCTCCTTTTGGGATGGAATTCCTGACAACAGTAGCACCATCCTCATTCCCCTTGAAAACCTGGTGAGGAAATGTTTGTTTAAAAAAATAAGGGCTATCTGCATCTCTATTATCAATAAGGGTGGAAAAAGGAAATTGGAAGCCAACACGACTGCCACCTTGTTGGCTCAATTCGTTTATCAACGGATTCAGAACTGAGCGGGAAAATAAGAAAAAGAATGAAAGTCTAAGAGCCTTTTGTTGTATTAAGAAAAATCCTTAAATCTTTTAAATTCATACCCTGAATACCTCCGATACCCTGAAACGACGTCTGGGCCGATCAAAGTCAAGGCATGGCTAACTCATAACTCACAGATAAAAATGGAAATTAGCGTGTTAGGTCTTGCGGAAGGAAGAAAACCAAAGGAAAACCCTTGAAGCGAGAGAGAGACGTAACGAAATATGGTGCCGAGTCTGAGAACTAGATTTTATGCTCTATCTTGGGTATGAGTGCATTTAGTGAAAAAGAAACAGAAAATGTGGTTGCTTACCTTAGGGATATCCATAAAATTTGTCACATAAAGCCAGTTTCGACCATCCATGCTGTAGCGAACCCAATATCTTTGTACAAACTCGTTCCTTAGGGGGTGCCCCTGGGTCGATATTGCGGTGACTAGCTTAGCGTCTCCTAAGTACACTTCAAGGAAAGGCGAGTCATCGTCGTCACTAGGGGACCATGCTGAGTAGGGGTCATACAACCGAGCTTGTTCAGGACCAGTGAAGGAGGATCGAGAAGATGACGCCATGATATTTTCATCAGGGATTCCGTCGTTTTCCATACCGAGTCCAGCATTACAGTCTGGATAAAGGATTTTTTAAAGATATAAAGTGTTAGGAATCTGTAGTCTTTTACTAAATAACTTGAATATATGTTTTTCGAATAGAGATCGATGTTTTAAGAGAATCTTACAAAAATTACATACCACACACTGGTCGTCTTGTTGTAGGCTTCTGGCTTGTGGTAGGCTTTTCTGTTGTAGTAGGCTGCCCAGTCGTAGAAGGCTGCCCTGTAGTAGGCTGCCTTGTGGTGGGTTGCCCTGTTGTAGAAGGCTGCCCTGTAGTAGGCTGCCCTGTAGTAGAAGGCTGCCCTGTCATGGTAGGCTGCCATGTCGTAGAAGGCTGCCCTGTCGTAGAAGGCTGCCCTGTCGTAGAAGGCTGTCCTGTTGTGATAGGCTGTCCTGTCGTGGTAGGCTGCCCCGTCGTAGAAGGCTGCTCAGTTGTAGTAGGCTGTCCTGTTGTAGTAGGCTGTCCCGTTGTGGTAGGTTGTCCTGTGGTTGTTATTTGTTCTGTTGTAGTAGGCGGTTGTGTAGTCGTGTTTTCAGTAGGTTTAGTAGGTAGGGTAAATGGTGCTGTTGAACAAAACAAGACACTCATCTCTCAGACAAGTTATAATTTTTTACTTCTTGTTATATAAATAATAAAAGAAAAAGACAACAGCAAAGACCTAACGTCCGTTTTGCCTTAATTATTAACTGCCAGAATATCGTATTTTCCTTCTACGTGGGAGCTGCCACCATGTAAGGAACACCGCGGTGGCCTCCATGAATTACGGGCACGTAATCGCGGTATGGAACGCTAGCAAAGCTTGATCGAAATTAGGATTTAGTTGACTCTTATTGGAAATGTGAATAAATGTGCAGCTTTTCATTACATGGGACCGTGCATTGTTTCGCGTACGTTTCAAAGTATTTCAAAGTAGACTCATATTATTTGAAAACCACGTGATTACTTACGCCTTGTTGTCGTGGTGCCAATTGTTATTTCTATCGAAAACAGAAAAGAAAACCATAATCTTCAGTTGTATTTCTTTGGATTATTATTCAAATTGACAATCGACATTTTTTATGCTATTCTAATCTTTATTTTTATAAAGTGTTTTTCTTTCTTTACCTGGTTTCGTTGTGACAGTCGTTGGGAAAGTGATGACGACACTTGTTGGTGGTATTTGGTTGGCGTCTGATAGACATGAAAACAGATCAAAAATGTGATCAATGCATTTGTTATCACAGTCAGTATGAGATTGAATAGAGTTTTAAAGTCGAAATGCAACAAGTCACCATTCTCAAAACTATTGGCCATATTTTGCAATGTGCTTCCCAACAAGACGTTTGCATAAAGGCGCGGTGCAAGAAATCACCATTCTCAAAACTAGTGGCCACATTTTGCAATGCGCTTCCCAATTGGACGTTTAAATGATGGCATCATTTGACCCCCACTACCAGAATACCTTACACACTTTCTTTTGTTCAGTTAATTAGCACCAATTGTCTTAGATAATAAAGAAAATTCGCAAAGTATCTTGTCAGTCGGAGTAAGATGACACTATCTTGCAAATGTCCTAATAATAAATATTTCAAATGCTTTGAAGGTCTCTGTAACGACCATTCCTCTCTACCAATGCATGTATAAATGTATGTGACTTCTGTCAATATATGTTCCATGTATACTCACAGCATTTTCCACAACATTCAGACTCATTCTTCACAAAATACGATCCCTTTAACGTAACACAAAAAAATGCAATTATAAAGAGAAAAGATCATATTACATTACATGGTATCGTATAATATTGAATTAATGTAATTTCTCTTACCGTAGGGCAAGGGTATTTTTGTTCACAGAGGTTTTCATCGCACTCTGTTGACAAAAGAAAATATACTTATATATTGCAAGGAGTGCGTTTGTACTTTGGGTTTGTATTTTGTTGTTGAAATGTACGTACCGCACTTGCAGCAAGTCGTTGGGTCAATCTTTGGCACGTGATACTGAAAACACAAATATATTTCTCGTGATTCCTTATTGACCTTAATCAAGTTCTATGTGGATAATGGATCTAAACCATTCTTTATTCTAAGTGCTCGAGAAAATACATTAATATGGACGTATATTACATATTCTTTTTATTCCATGCAACGAAGCTAAGAGCTTTGAGTTTGCAATACTATTACCTCGATAATTATAGGGTCTATTAGAAGTTGATTCCACCCTTTTCAGCTTTTTGTCGCTGCATTTAAGAACCATGCAGTACACGCCGTACGTTAATTTTGAATATCAATCATAGGGCAATGGCTTTATAGAAATTCAACGGACCCCTTGCATGTGACGTCAAAGCAGCTCAATTTGGAGAACAAAACAAAGGAATTTTGATCCTAATTTGACACCTTTCGTTATGTCCATCAAATTGAGCTGCATTCCAACGTACTGCGAGGGCCGGGTCAATACGAATGGCTGAAAGCAAAAGAAACTAGGCTTGGTCGTTTATCAACTGTGTGTGTGTAGGTGCTGCCATTTTTAGTTTAATCCTCACTTTTGGACATTTGTTGCACATGATTCTGTTACAGGTAACTTGTGCTCGATTGTTTCCTTCTTTCTGGCATTGACATGTCTCGCACATCTCGGCTGACCACTTTCCTTTCCAGGTCTCGTTAATCTGGAAGATTTCAATACAGCATGATCATAGCACAACAGTAGCTTTGCAAGTAGGCCATCTAAGATTTTAGCCTTGAAGTTAGGTCCCTTTGCAATTTCTTCACTCGAATAGTCCCTTTCACAGTTCCCTGCGCCATCTTGAAAGGTAGCCGTGCCTTTGCATCGAAGCGAGACGAACGGTGACATTTTTTTAACACCTTGGACAATTATTCACATGTCTCTATCATTGCAAGCTCACCGTTCGTCTCGCTTCGATGCAAAGGCACGCCTACCTTTCAAGATGGCGCAGGGAACTGTGAAGGGGACTATTGATCGAGGAGATGTCTTTACTATTCTCAATGAATAATTATTTAGCACGGATAACGGAGCACGGAGCATGGAGTTTATATTTTAATATATTAAAGCTTCATACACATGCCCCCCCTAACTTTTTGCCTAGGCCTGATGGCGATGGTGTTCATGTTCCTCTACCTTCCTTGATGTTTAACCCATTATCCCAATACATTAATAATTGTTGCGGATCGATCCCGCTTCTCGGTAAATATTCCCCGATATTCACCTTGACTTACGTAAATAATTGTTAAATATTTAGCACGCTGCTAAGTACCTGTAGATGTATAGACCTTGAGGCAATCCCCAGTGCAGCTCTATTTCGATGACAGAACAGTAGAATTTTACTCTCATGATACTTCTGAAAATCCATTGTTCTGTCCACAAAAATTGAGTTCCTCTGGGGATTGTAGAAAGGGGTCTATAAGCCGGCAAGTGGACCTTCTTACCTCATAAATTGTGTCATTCACTTCACAGTCTAAAAAAGTAAAGGACAGTCAGTAATATTCTCATAAATTAAGATCTTTTAGATCGATTAATGTCTTTTAAATATTTCCTGATTTACTATACTTACAGTCCTTTACACAATCGCAGCACGTTCCATTTTGATTAGGAGTCTTGCGATGAACTTTGTATTCATTCTGTAGAAAATAAGACGTTTTTCGTTATTCAAACTTAGATTTGTAAATATGAAAAGGTTTTCGAGTAAGTTTTTAAAACAGTCTATAGGTGGGCGTACGATGTTTTGATCATTTTGATCGTTTGGTTTTGATCAAGAACATGAAATTCTTGGAAATTCAAGCAATAAACAAACAAACGTCAAAAGTGGCAAGATCCTATCGCTTTGGAAGATATCTGAGAATTTGAAGACAAATCTCTTGATGGTTTTTAAGTTAACGTTGTGAAATGTGACAGTAAATGTATGTTGGTTGGCAAGATGTTGCCAACCAACCTACATTTACTGCAAAATTTAGCAAATTTAATTTATTATATGTCCTGAACTAATAAAGCAACTGCCCTCAAATTGCATTAACAGTATCAAATATATCAACAGTTATGACTTCTTTATATTTCTTAAGTCCAATTGTTTATGGCTCAAAAGTTGATTTTTGGAAATGCAAACAGTACGCCCACCTATACCTTAACCGTTATGCTGGTTTTATGGAAAAACAGTGGGGGAGACGAGGTATAAGAACTGGATCAGAGGTTTTGAAAGAAGGATGCGTAAAAAAGTTTAGGAAAGAAAAGTTGGAAAGAAAAGAATGCAGTTTTAAAACAGAACAATCCAAAAGAAAACAATCGAGAGAAAATTGACCAAACTCCAACATAACTCACCGCATCGCATTTAAATCCTGGTTGGCACTGACGAGAACAGTCTTGTTTGCCATTCATGCATTTGCAGATCTCGTGATCGCTGGGGTACCAAATCTCATTTTCCCTCTAAATATCAATACTATTAGTAATGAGTCTGCAGTCAAATAACTTAGGACAACCTAAAATGGCAGTCTCTTCATGGTACTACGCACTCTAATTATACAGCTATATCAAAAAAGGTTGAATACTGAATACTGCATACTGAATAGTGCATTCCAAGACCAAAGGGCATTGTGGGTCTCTATTGTTTCAGATAGAATACACTAAAAATAGAATAAATGATTATTATTAATCCTACTTTAGACAATGTCACTGTGACCCATAATGCACTTCGGTCTTGGAATGCACTATTCAGTATGCTGTATTCAGTATTCAACTTAAAGAGCTGTAAAGAAAGGGGGGAAAAGAAGAAACTTCTGAGGGTGAGGACAACTCCAGCTGATCTGAAATGACGTCACTGCAATACTGAATTGTCATGAAGCCTGCAAAAAATGACTGGCCAACAATGAAAACCTGTCCACCACTGTAATAAAAATATAAAACTCATAAGTTATTATTATGTTACTGTTATCAACCTCTTGATGTTATTTTTTTCATTTGATGGCCTGGAAATCCATAACTTCAAGAAGTAAAGTGTGACACCTCAGTTTTGCAAATTTTCTCGATTCTGATTGGTTAACATTTTTCTTATCAGATCAGTTGGCTAGTCTGTCAGTGAACACTGATTGGTCAGTGACACATTATATCTGATTTAGTTCCAGCCATGGATTATACAGATGATTTTACGTGCCCCTTAAGATATAGTGTGGCACGCAGGTCTGTTCTTCAAAACTAGGCATTAGACTGCATTTTAAAACTATGTTTATCAAGAGTGGTCAATTAATCATAATAACTAATAATAGCCGATATTATAGTTACAATCTAATGCCTTCAAGCAATTGTTTCAAGTCGAGGCAATTTTGTCAATACAATATATGTATAGAAAACTGGCCCAAATATAACGATTGTTTGAAGCAAGGCAATAGAGTGTATCTGTAATTCTACTATCGATATAGATTAATGTAATTTAGGTAATTGTTCGCTGTATTTGCTATCATCATCATCCGTTCTTATAGCGCTATGAGTCGCGCAAGGAATTATAAAATTATTTGTTATCATACCATAGTTTTATTCTGGAATATACAAGGACATTGATCAATTGGTATGCAACGTTTGTTGTACAACACCAGGCCATCGTCACAGCAGCATCCCATCGTAGCACGTGATGTGTCACACAGGTTGCGATCGTGACATGTTTGTATTTTCTTGCATAGCTGAAACTTGGTTTCGCCCGGACAGTACGCTGTGTGGATTGGAAAAACAGAAAATGTTGAATTAAATGTTATTCTAACCGCGAAGTTTTTACTGGTAGACACCTGAATTAGTTCATCCCAGAGGAGAATCCAAGGCTATCCCAAGTGCCTTTGCGTGCTTATTTTTTTCTTTGTTTTCAAACCGGTTTATGTGTAATTTTTTGTAATTACGCTTCAGCTGTTATTAATACCAATAAAATAAATCACTTTTATTTAAGTGTTTAGTCGTTCTAGCGCTTTCGCACTAATTGGAGACACTTTTCGCTCACACTAACTACCACTACATTCAATATTCTGTGCACACAACGCTGAGCTCACATTCTAAGGTACTGCTTAGCATTTGATGAAGACATGTTCGACTAATTTGGCAAATTAAAAGAAGCCAGTTGTAGGATGTGTACTGAACCTGAAAGTACTCCAAAGTACTCCAGTGTTTTGATGAGTATCTCTAAATTCCATGAAGAATTCAGAAAACAGATAGCTCTGTAAGTTATAACATACATTCTACTTAAGTACAATTGATTTTCTTCGATTTCGAAAATGTTGATTTTAAATTTTAAAATGTTATAGAGTGTTATAAACAATCCGTGAAACACTAATTACTAAATAGTACAAAATAGTGCTAATTAAACAATAGAAAACAATGGAATTTGCATGAAATTGTGCTATTTAGTATTACTAAAGTTTCACTCTATCTCACTCGCAATGCGGTAGAATAACCCGGAATTCTCCTCTGAGTTCATCCCTAGCGACTTCTGAAGTCATGTTTTTTCAGGGTTCTTGTTGGAGATATTGATATAGAAAGCATTAATGTGAAAACTAAGAGGGTCTGGAAAGTATCCTAGTCTTTAAAATCTTCTTAAAAGCCTTTGACTGTGTAATCCTTTTTCCATTCCACTTGACTTCTTTTGCATTTAGGCAACTGTGCAAAACTACACTGCAAAACCCCAAGCCCCATCACATTTAATTAATCTTATACGAGCAGAGCCGGCTCATACGTCGATTGGCCTATTGATAATACTATTTGACTAAAATGTTAGACTCACGCGTAGTTGGAACAGATGTCGTTGGTGCTGCGGTTGTACTGGGTGCTTTGGTGGTGGAGGGAGGCTTGGTTGTGGTAGAAACTGTTTTGTTTTTGCGGCATTCACAGCAGTAACCGTCATCATACACATAATCATATCCCTAGATAAAAACGCCACAGTTAAAGCCTGACTTACTACACATACAACGCTTATGCATGGCATCTAAGCAGTCATTACCTAAGTATATTCACTATAATCACTGAGTATGGACTTCAGATTTGCTGCACTTCGAATAGGTTCAGCTTAGGTTCAGCAGTGAATATAGCAGAAGCAATACTCTTACAGGTTTACTTAGCTATTCTACTATGGAATCATTGATTACTCTGCTAGCAGTGATAGAAAAGGTCTATGACAACGTGAGCGATATCACTGAAGGTTTCTGAGAATGTAATGTCCAAGCAACTTACACGGTCCTGACATATTTGAGTAGTAAGTCTGCAGTATCCAATAGCACAGGAAAAACCCAATGGATTTTCAACGCAAATGCACTTCTTACAGTCATTGACCCAATATTCTTCTCCAACCTAATGATAAGATAAAGATGTGCTCATTAGGCAGAAAACCTGATCAATAATAAGTTATAACGGCATCACTACATACCTCAAAGCACCTTTGTGACGCGCTGTCAAAACAAGGACACGGCTTTGTAGTTGGTGGTTGTGTTGCCTTTTCAGTAGTGGTTGGTGGTTGTGTTGCCTGGCTGGTAGTGGCTGGTGGTTGGGTCGCCCTTTCAGTAGTGGTTGGTGGTTGTGTCGCCTTTTTAGTAGTGGTTGGTGGTTGTGTTGCCTTTTCAGTAGTGGTTGGTGGTTG